AAAAAAAGATTCCCGTCAGCAAGATGCAATATTAACCCACTTTCATATCTCCGGACCAGGGGAGTTTTTTAAGACGACAAGTTGGGATCCCTTAGTTAGCACAGTATGTAAATCTAGCCATTTTTTTTAAAAAAAACCAGTCTCTTCCACTGAAATATTACATTGGCTATTTTATTGCTCCATATTTCAGTAAGTTGTGTTCAGAATAGCACCAAATGGCATCACGGGCTGCTCTATGATACTGTGCTAGGTCAATTTTTTTTTACTAATGTCAAAATTTGCTATATGAAACAAAGCAAATAATACACAATTCTTTATATTGTGAAAATAACTCCACAAATATGTCCTCCACTTCTGCTCCAACTAAGGGATAGCAACTATAAAGTGTACATTTCAATGTTTTTTTTGTTTCACTTTGGCGTTAGAATGATTCATTCTGCCTGGGTGAATTGCGTTTTTTTAAAAATTGCTGTTCAAGAGCTGGTGAACTTTCCATCTGACAGAACTATTGGATAGAATTTTCTTGTCAAAACTATCCATGTGCAATTACATGGGTACTTTTCTTCCAACTCATTTCTTCTAAAGTTATTGATCTGCTGCTCTTACACACCGTGTTAGAAATCCAGGGTCACCGAAACCGAAACTCCTAATAAATTTGCCCACAAGATCAGAATCAAACTGGTGACAAGAGAGGGATGCCACTTTTCTGCATGGTGGACTTTGTACTTAAAAAGTCCATGAAATTTTGACATAAATGTACAGATTATCCGAGGAAGAAACAGACGGCTAGTCTAGAAAGTAACTCATGCTTGAAATCAGTGTAACTAATTTTATCAAGTTTGCTTTCAAAACCTATCATAGATTTCCAAAACCTTTTATCTCCGAAATGTTTCCTTAAATAACAATGTTTACTGGACCTACCATCTTCTTGATATGGTATATTGATTATAAGATTCATTCATTTGGAACATCTATATCTATATATTTGTTTCTTATGCAGAACATGAAAAATATGTAATCAATTTGAAGCCTTATATCAAAGTGAGAAATTATTGCTACTAATCAGGGCACCAGTGCAGTATTTTGGCCTCAAGAGCTCTGAAGTCTGCTACCGGTTCGTTTTGTAGGCGCATGTGTGCCAAATGTGCGCTTTGCGTGTATGCACACAACAGGCGCTGAGAAGCCTTTTCTGATTCTGCAAAGGTAAGTAGAACAGCAAGGGGGGGAGGGAACAGCTGTTCCACACAATTTAGATTTGCTAGAAAGCAGGATTTCCTGCTTTTTAGCAAATTTAAATTGCGCGACAGCTGATTGTTGGAACTTTTAAAAAAAACCTTTTTTAGCATTTTTTTTTTTTTTTTTTACTAACTGTTGGGGTGAACCGGTAGCAATTCACCCCTGCCTCAGAGGCTAAAAGATATTTTGGAGCTATCAGATCAGGAGACATTTAGTATCTCTCTGAAATTTATAAAAGCAGCTGTGATTTTCCTGGGATTTCATAATTCTAGCAGAATTTGGCTATAATTTAGGATTATTACATCTCTTGCCTCTTAACTAATAAAACCTTTTAAACTGTTTTAATTATCTAACAGAACAGCCTTATCAGAGAATGCTGCTTTCTCAAGAGAGTTATCAGGATAGTTTTCTTATATATTCAGTTTCCTGAGTAGAGCAACCAGGACCACATTTTCTTCCCTTTTATTTTCAAAAATTCGCATCATGCTTAAAGAAACATTTTATATAGACGCTCGTATTCAAAAACACCTGTTTTCATTTAACTTCAGTTACGTGGTATTGTTTAGAGAGCACATTCTCAGAATTTGTGACATGAAGAGTCAATCTTATTTGAAATTTTAATGGTTTATAGTGCTGAATTTTTTTTTAGTATCGCCTTATATCTGTGGTTGTGACTATTTTTTTAAACTTGCTGAATTAATACAGCCCATTGAAAGATGTGTTGAGATGTCCTGCCTATGAATTACTTTCAATATTGCTGACATTAAAGGGTCTATCATGATAAATGATTATCAGAAAAGGTGTTTTCTAACTTAAATAGCGCCTCAAATATTAGCACAGATCTGCAGTCACTGTTCAACTGATTTACAGCCTGGAGATAATTCAACCATTTTGATAATTAGCACTATTTTTCCCTCAACAGCTTCAGAAACAATTGATGGAAACTAAGCAAGGAAAGAAGCAACCTGGAAATAAGGTGAAAGTTCCTAACAATATTAACAATTAACTAGTGGAATAGTTTGTCTTCAGAAGTTTTAGGAACTTCATCACGGGAGGTTTTTAAGAAAAGACTGAACAGTCACCTATCTGAAATGGTACAGGGTCTCCTGTTTCAGCAGGAGGTTGGAATAGAAGACTCCAAAATCTCTTCCAGCTCTATTCTTATTTTCTTGACAATCTTATTAATTGAAACAATAGCATAAATTTAAAAATGTTTACTTTGGAATAAAGTAATGAGTTTACACATTATGTATATTGGATGTCAGACTGATTTTTTGGGGACCCCCGTTAATTTCCACTAGTATTTTTTTATAGAGGAACTACTGAAGAGAATTAGTCCATCAGAGGAAAATATTTATTTACAGGAATGTAAAATTTATGTTACAGCATTTGAAACAAAATTGTGTTGAATGTTGACACAAAACCAATATGTTCAGAAGATGAATGCAAATAACCATTCTATGATTGAAAACCTCCATGGCTTTTAAAAATGGATGTAGAGTTCCTTTATGGAGGTGTCATGTTTTGGATTTAATTTAAACAAATTGTTCTGGAATTGGTAGGAGCTGAAACTATTTCCTTTCTGAAACTCATTAAAGCAGCTGTTTGTGTTGCCTTGTGTTCTGAAAAACTCCTTCCAAAATTGTATTGTTCAATCCTATATTTTACTTAATATTTAAGTATTTAATAATACTTTCCAGGTCTTAAGATTTCTTTTTCTCATTTTATAGAATTGTTCTAAACCAAAATATAACACAATTTAATGTGTATGGTTTTTTTTTTTAAAAAAAGGGGGGGGAATATCCCTATCACAATAGAATCAACATTCCATCTCTTTTTCTGGATTCATTCGACTTGCATGCAAGAATATTTGGCAAAGGGATGCAGAAAGAAACCCTGCACATTCTCTTCCTTCTCTTGGTACTTTTATAACCACTGCATGGAGTGAGAAAAAATAATTTATACAGAAAATAGATCACTTTTATGGAAAGATTGTAATAATGCAACAGACAGAAGATCAGGGTGAAGGAGCTCTTAATTCAAGTAAAACATGTGTTCTGCCTACAGAAAATTCCAGCTTGAATCTCTGGCATCTGAACTAATGCTTAGATTTAGCAGATGGCAGTCTCACATTTTATTTGCAGGTTTAACTGAGCAACAGGCTGTTCCTTTCCCATAGTCTTTAATCTGGTGATACAATGGTGCATTTAGAGATGCTTTACAGATAAAAGTAAAGGTTCTCCTTGCACATGTTATAATTGTTCCTGGCTCTAGGGGGCGGTGCTCATCTCAGTTGCAAAGCCAAAGAGCCAGCGCTGTGCGAAGACATGGTCATGGTCTGTGGTCATGTGGCTGGCATGACTAAATGCCAAAGGCATTTGGTATTATCTTCCCACTAAAGGTGGTTCCTATTTTTCCACTTGCATTTAACATGCTTTTGAACTGCTGGGTTGGCAGAAGCTGGGACAAGTAACGGGAGTTCACTCAGTTACGCAGCGCTAGGGATTTGAACCACTGAACTGCCAACCTTTCTGATCAACAAACTCAGCGTCTTAGCCACTGGGCCACCATGTCACTCGCTTTACAGATAGTATACTGAATATTCCTTCCTGAATCCTTATGTATGGACATTGTAAGAGTCACATTCAAGCATTGTAAACTCTATAATGCCCAACTGAGGCACTGTACAATTGACATCTAGAGCTGGATAATTCATGAATTGTAAGTGTAAAATGATATAGCAATGAATTCATGAAAGCTGCATTTCCAAAAATGAAGACTGAAGAAATGTTTGTGAAAATACTAAGCAATACATTGAAGCCTTTGAAGGTTTGGGGAAAGATCATAAATCCACTCAGTAAACACTTACACAATGAAACATCTTCTATTTAACTACCAATGTAGACATGATTGAAGTTTTGATTGTTCCTTTGGGCCCTCAGAAAAGTGCTTGTATTTGGTAATGGTGTCCTATTAATTAAGTTGGCAAACTACCTTTATCCTACCCTTATCCAGATTAATGTGAATTATGATCATAGAAACAATCTAGTTTTAAGTCTCGTTCTCTAAGCAAGACTGAAAAAATCAGAACTATGACATTAACACTTTTTGTATGTTACTGAGAAGAGAGAGATGATGTTTCTATGATAAGTCACACACATACAGTATATATGTAATATATACTGTAGAGTATGTGTTATGGTTATACCAGGGCTCCCCAAATTTGGCAATTTTAAGATTTGTGGACTTCAACTCCCATAATTCTCCAGCCAGCGAAGACCTCTGGTCTATGTAGTATGATGCACTCCCCTTATTTTGCAATTCAACTCCAGAGAAACCAATGAATCTAGCTACCTGTCTGGCTAAAATAGGTTAAATCTAGAGTCTCCAGTCTCCTGAGTGAAGAACAAAAGAAAAAAAAAAAGATAGGCATCAAACATGACAACTTTACAACATGGCAACACTCATAAAAGTATTAAGAGATTTTTGAACCACACTGATCTATAGTTTATCCAAAATGTGCTTATCTGAAGCTAAGAGTAGCAACATAGAGGTTGGGGCATATTGACATTAATAATAGTTTTCTACTGATATCACAGGATACTGTGTACAGAATATATTCAAATTATATCCATTTTAGTGTAACGATGCACTGAAAATCTTCAAAGACAAATATTGGTTTGTTCTTTTCTAAAACCCACTAATGTGTGTATTTGCCTTTAAACAGGATTAAGAAATAATTAAAATATATACTGGCTCATAAAATTTTGATGATCTCATCATTATGCTGTAAACATTTAAGTGCAATATCACTTGACTGTAAATATGATGAACATAAAACATGCTAATCATAAAAATAGCTTTTACAAATATACATTTGTATACAGTATTTCTTTTGCTTTAAATATGTCCTTCATATTATCATACAGGTCATTGGCTATCTGACATCAAAATAAAAAAAATACCAATGATTAGCCAGGAGAAACACATTTACAGTCTAAACCATAAAAATATGACAATCGCATAGTTTTAAACATATGTTTTAAAATTTTGAATGGTGGTCTCCATTTCCAAAAGTAAATTCAGTTCTTCATACAAATTGAGTCAAAGATGTTACGAGCTGACAAGAAACTAGTTTAAATTTTCACGTAGGGAAGTCTATGAATTATCTTCTCAGCTTCCAAAGTGTTGTGTAAGGGTCCCAATTCATTTGATCTGTAGAAACTATAACACAAAATATAGTTGTGTTTTAAAACATTTTGAAGAATAGATAATAACATGTAATTAATAGGATAATTTGTATTTTATAGAAAGCAATTGATTTGGATCAGTTTTGTGGAATGATAAATATTAATCTTTTCACCAATTCAAATTTAGTCACCCAAATTAATATGACACGTGCAAGAACCTACAGTTCTCTAATCTTCAGCACTGACTACCTAACTAAGTGCTCTTAATGAGGCAAAAGTAATTTGGAAGTTTCTTATTCTTATTCCAAGTTAAAAGTAAATAAAAAAATTACCCATTTTCCTAATTTGGTTCATCCACACAATGGCACTAAATGTGGGTAAAAAACACTTGACCATTAATTATTAATGATGATGTACTTTAAGTTTGACAGCTATACAAAAATTTTCTGCTTCTCAAGTAATGTACTACCGGTGTATGAAGAACAAAATGAAGTGCTGAAATTAGGTTCCAGTGAAATAATGGAACAGACTGATCAAGTAATCTTCAAGGGTAGTGATAGGATTATAAAATTAGAGGCATTAACATATTCCACATATTGTATAAAGGTCAACAAGTCTGTAGAGCTACTATTATACAATTCCTATTAATAAGGTAACTTTGAAAACTCTTATCTGCAAGCTCTTCCTATTATTTGCAGTACCAAATTGACCGAATAGCTTAGAAGAGGTCTATTTTGTCCTCCTTTGGTTTCTCTCCTGCATCAGAAGCACCCTGAAGATTGAATAGCTGTGTTGCTCTTTTGGGAATAAAAGCTCACCTTGCAGAGTTTTTGTTTTGTTTTTATTTGTTTTCTTGCTTGTCTTTTTCTATTATATAAAAGTCAAAAGCCAAATATTACTGAAGATACTATGTTTCCCTGAAAATAAGACAGGGTCTTAT